CAGGCTGGCCGACGCCGACAATAGCCCGCACAGCTGCACAGCTGGCCCCCCTTCCCCTGCCTTCCTGGCCGCGCAGCCCCGACGGGGGGTGGGGAGGAGAGGCAGGCGCGTGGGGAGGCGCGGGAAGGGCCACCCCCGAATTTCTGAGGGGCTTCTGGAGCGCCAAAGGCGGGGGCATCAGAGGAGAGACTGACCCCCACTCCGATGACTCCTGCCCGCGAGCCAAGCGAGCTCTCGCATTGAGGCGGGCTGCGAACCCGGGGGAGGCGGTCAGCCTGGACTACAGTTGCCATTATCGCGTAGGTCGGGGAAGGGGGTTGCCCTGCAGATTGAACATCATCCTGGTGCCTACGGCTTTGGGCTGCGGGCAGTTCGCCAGTGGCGACTCCTGGGGTAATGATCGCCGCGTTTGTCAACCTTAGCCACTTGAAGATGTGTGAGCCTCAACTCCCAGAATCCCCAGCCAGCATCTTCAAGTGGCCAAGGTTGAAAAACACAGGATCAGAGGGTTAAGGGAGAGCGGGTACAGCTGGGCTCCAAGCCCCTTGGCTCCCAAACTCAGGGTTCCTCAGCCTTGGCAACTTTAAGACAGGTGGACTTCAACTTCCAGAATTCTTCCAAGGCTGGCTGGGGAATTCTGGGAGTTGAAGTCCACCCATCTTAAAGTTCCCAAGGTGGAGAAACACTGTTGTCATCCCTCTTTGCTAATCTAATCTCTCTTCCTTGACCCTCCCTAAACTATTAAATGCACTTCTAGGCCAAACGAAGCTCCTGCATTTTAATGTTTATAATGATATTAAGAAGAAAGGGTTCTCCCCGCCCTGAATTCCTGCTAAAAACACTTAAGTAATCTTTTCCAGCATTACAGCCATCAGCAGAAGTCAATGCCAGCCAGAGACCTTGACATCCAGTGTTTCAGTGCCTCGAGGGCAGGCCAAGCGGGTGGAGAATTTCACCTTAACAATATGTTTTGTGGGGAGTCATTATCAGCTGGAAAGAGGCTGTCTTCCAGATGGCAGGGTGAGAAGCTGTCATCTGAACTCAGCCCCTAACCAGGATGAACTCTGAGCAAGCTTGGCACATGCTGTGAAGGCCGGGCCTGATTTCTAACTGGCTTTGGCTTGGCCATGGTTTCAGTCCTGCCTGTGTTTGTAATGCAATGTATTGTGTGAAGCGACAAAGCCCATGGGTTTCAGAACTGCCCCACATGGGTTGCATGAAGGCCAACACAGAGGTTGGCCTGGAAAGTCTACAGGGGGCTGTTGGCCTCTCTTTATTGAATGTATCGGGTGGAGGGTTACATGCCCACCTCCAGACGGCCCTCCCCTCCCAGGTGGGATGGCACTGATCCCTGGGAGGGCCGTCTGAAGGCAGGGCATGCAACTTCCCACATAGACATTCATAAAAATGGATGCCAAACCAGGGCTTGGGTGCAGACTGCCTTGGGGCCCGGCGCCCGGATGGCCTTCAGGCTCGGAAGAGCCCAACCCTGGCCGTGGTCTCCACAGTGCAGGCAAAGCATGTCGCTAAGGAGCCTTCCCGGGCCGGCGAGGGCCGCCGGGCAGCCAACCGCAACTTGACTTGGGCGACCGCTAGAGGGCAGCAAATAGATGCAAGAAACTCTGCTGTCTTCTAGCGGCTGGGCCA